CGTAGCGCTCGAAACGGCAGAGGATGCAGGAGACAGCGACGTGAATGACATCTGCATCGACAAGTAAGTACCAAGTAGTTACGCGATCTGCCCATCCTCCATAAGAAAACATGGCGAGCCATAGGAGCCCATAGTGAGAGGGGGGTGAATTCATTCGATAAGCACTGTATATGAATTTCTCTCCCAATGGAGAGGAAAATCTGGGCGTAGCAGCTCCTTAGACGTCAACTGGAGGTGAAATGAAGTAACTACTGCCAAGAGAATGGCGGACCTGTTAATATTTTTCGCCCCTCTTCCTTTTGGTTACGCTGATGGGTGCTTTTTTCATTATTATAAAGGAAGGGTACGGAAGAGAACAACATGTATTGCTGCATTGTTAATGGTTGTCGAAATCTAAAAGGAAAAGAATTGTGGCCTTCCATCGCATTTCTCAGCCCATAAAGTATTCTGAACATGGAGGTTGTGAAGCACAGGGAAGAGCGACAGAGGCTCCTGGAAGTATGGAAGCCAATATCATCCACCATAGTTGTTTCTTCGCGTCATTTCCTGATGTTAGATTACTCGCTACCAGGTATATTAGAAGAGCACGATATAGCAATCTAATTCTTCCCTTGACCAGATGATGAACAGATAATGTCAGAAATGCTTATATCGTTCCCATTCAATGTGAATGTGGCATCGATGGAATGAGGAAGAAGCGAATGCACTTGCCTGTAGACAGAGACCCATTACATTCCATACGTTGTCAGTGCTGAATGTGCTTAAAATGTCTCACATTAAGTGCTTAAAATGTCTCACACGATAAAATTCCTAATCTGGAGTCCGGGTCCACGTAAGAGCCATTTCGCTGGCTGCCCCACACCTAAAGCATCACCTCACTGGTGTTCATCGTTCCGGTCTCGTTCTCCAATGGAAACCTCCATTAAGCAATTTGTGAAGTCGCATGTAACACGTCCTCGCGTTCCATCTTTGTCAACCATACATACATATTATTGACATACGTTCATACCTACAATCTACGAATCACAAATATTGCAGAGAGGGAATATTGAAGTCATGCGCCAACAACTCCGTCTGAAACATAATTCCCTTTCTCAAATCGGTCCTTCCATGGAATATCATTAACGTTTCGCTCTCATCTCGACGAATGCGCATCTTGGTACCTTCATATAAATCATCATCTAATAAAACTTCTCTTGCCGTGCCTTCTGGAGTCATTGCATTAGGGTTTAAAAAAGAGGAACAATTTTCGAGGTAATGTTATCAGCGCCTACTGTCGAGGTCATGCTATAGTTGTTGGACCACGATAGGTTTTCTCGACTCAAGACTCCAGGATAAAAATATTCTCGCGAAAGAGCCATTTAACGATTTCCTTGTTGTTTTTGTCTGTTTTGACTTCACGGGCTATCACGTTTCGAGCAATTAACACTGCCGTTCCTTCCAGCAAGTTTCACATGCATTGGTCTTTTTCCGCAAATATTTTTGATAATGCCTTACGCAGCTCATCAGCTTTTGGGGATGATTTTGTCCCGAAGAAATGCGCCGTTTTCAAGTGGTTTGTCGAAGTCCATCGTGGGCGAGCGAATCTTGCTGATGAACCTAGTTTTGCTTCACCAACCTCCTCCAGCAGTGGCTCCCGATTCGGTGGACCACATTCCACAAATACTCCAGGATTATCCAGTAGACATTGGATCCGGTAATGTCAACGTCGTGCTCCACCATGAGTTTTGAATAGAATAGAATTCCCATTCGCCCCGCAGTGTCTTCAGTCATTATCTATATGAATTAATCAGATGGAAAATCGTCCTAATAGGGAATACGATGTAGTGAAGGGTTAACCTTTTCCTCCCATGCAATAATTTTGTTCCACCTTCATTTTACCACGTTTGCTGGATACGGAAAGGAGTTTTTCCAGTAAAACAAGTTAATTTAGCCTTTTCTTTCCTTTCTCCGACTGCCCCTCCAAGACCTTAAATAAATAGTCCAAAGACTTAGCAAATCCAATCCTATGAACTTTTAACTCATGCACTTGTGATGCTTGTCTTTTCAACTTCCGAAGGAAGTTGAAAATACATGTATTATTGAGTATACAGGGACTTTGGCACTGGAATACGCACGGCGTATTAAGGAGACATTGGATTGCATCAGCCCATGTGTCGGCCTGCTCACAGCCCGATGTCAAGCAGCTAATCCCCGCGGACGGGTCATCCTGCAACTGTATTATTCTATCCTTGTAGGCTCCATGTTATTTATTTGAGGGGAAGGGGGTCATTATGCCGGGTGAGGCATAAGAAACGCGTCGCTCTTTGAAATTCTTCAGCGTTCATGAGGCAGCAGAATGTACAGCAAAGAAAATTCTTTTTCTTCTTCACAATGCCTAAGCCAAGGATAAAGTAAAGCCCGTACCTAAAAATCTCCGCTCAGCAATGCCCCTCGCACCTTCGTTTAGCACCCTAGGAAATTTTAAAAGGGGTTCATAGTGTGCAGCCAGTCAAAAAAAAGATTGAGAACCATCGCTCGAAACATCCTGAAAATGTTGTGCTTATCTCAAGTCGTTTCACCACGAGCCATATTACAAAAGCAACTCGAATTTATTTTTGAACAATAAATTTTAGCGGGAGAGTTGGTACGTACAGAGTGCACAAATTTCGAATCCGGGCTTCTCCGTCTGTCCATGACAATGTTACTCTGCGAAGGGGTGGAGTGGGGCAAAGATTTTGCACGAATTTTCTGATAATGAATAATGTAGACGAAATGTAGACCTATCATTATCAGAATGATTCGCAAGCTGCGAGAAAATGGTTCATCTGAGAGGAAGAGATAGAGCGGTAGACAAAAATCTGCTAAAATCGAAGGAAATTGCACACATGTCGAAGTCGTTGTTTCTCAATATGATACCCATGGGACAAAAAATCCCCAGCTGCAAATTGCCAGAGACCCATGGGCGAGTCTGAGATTTGTTCCGCAGATTCTGAATTGCAGAGGAAAGAAAGTCTTCAAAAGAAAAGCCATTCCTAAACAGAGCCGCAGGTCCGAAGGTCGGCGTCGCAGTGCGAGCACTAAAGTAAAATTCGATTTGTTTTGTAAAATCACTCGTGGTAAAACACCTGGAGATAAACGGACGAAAATGTTTGGATGTTTAAAGGACATAAATAATTCAGAAACAATTTTGTTGCGTTATCTGCTGTTTCATAAGCACCACAGAATTTCGAAGATTTCGCTTTTTCCCCCCCATCACCTACCAATCCCTTCAAGAAGAAATCGCATTCCAAGCATTGATAATATAAAATGTAGGAATGTACTGAATATAAAGGAACTTGTGTAAGCAGTAATGGTATCATTTATTAACAATGACAGGAATAAACATGATAATTGACAAAAATCACATTTTAAGTATCAACTTGATAATTGACAAAAATCACATTTTAAGTATCTTGTGATGAAAGCCTCTCCTTCAGGAAAAAGAAATAGGAGGAATTTCGCAACAACTAGACTTGAGATCACACATAAGAGCTAGTACATATTCACTCATCCAAGGCATCATAACACATGCTTCAGCATGAGAAAAATAATATCATATGATGAGGTATGTCAATGGCAGTGAGCTACAATTCTAGGTCTCCAATCTGTTGACACAAGAGGGTTTATATGTCTACAACTCTGTCTCTCTCTGCAACAAACATATGGAAATTCAAGGATTCATATTCCTGTCAGGAGATAATAGGGAAGTAATAAATCAAAGGAATCAAATTCTAATGGCTTGTCTTGTGTTGAAAAAGGGGCTTAGGAAAGGGTGCTGGACAAGAGTATAGGACAGAAGGTTCAGGGGGCACGCTAGCACCTATAAGTTTTTGGGTCAATGACTCAAGCATAATTTAAAAATTGATTGCATGCAAATAATTTTTTAATTCTAGTGAAACTCTTTCACCTGTCAACATAAAAAAACTGAGTATCAGGACCAGTAAGGTGATGCTCTTTTCTTTTTTTCTTCTGGGAAAAGTCTATCTGAGTAATCACATTCAAGTTGAATATTGAGACACAGTAGGGTCTTTTCTGCAAAAAGTGAACATGAAAATGAAATGCAATCTCTACTTGTTCAATTCCAAAACTTAGCCACATTGAAAGCTGAAATTTTAGCAAACATTTTAGCTCCAATGAAGGTGCAACAATAATCACATTTGTTTCCAGCAAGAGAATAAAGGTCCCTCTAAGCATGAAAATTATTCCTGGCCAAATTGGAGGTAGAATGATGACTTGGGGACCTAAATATAATTAGGGAATGCAGATACCCCTCTGACCAATCATTGATGTGGAATGAATACTGATGGTTGGACTAAAAATCATACCAAAGTGATTGATTCTAGTGGCTGAAGCTTGGTTCACAAGCAAAGACAAAGAATGTAATGTTCATTGCCAATCATGTAACAATTATTCCTTTGGTAAGTTGTGTGCTGCTTTTAAAGTATAAGTGAGTCACTGCAATTCACATAGATGGAAATTCCCTGGTTGACAACTGACTAGAGATTACCATTTACTTTTGATACTCTATCTGAACCCCCCTTTATAACCCTACATTTTTCAGATTATGAATGCAGACTTTCAAGGTGGATGCAATACAAGTGTACCTGTGATCATATCAAATGCCTTATAACTTGCAAGTTTAAGGGGTTCTACATGATAATGGTTCTATATCACACAAACTGAAGGCAATCCATTAAATTCTTCTACAAACAAGCACATAAAGTGATTTCTTATGAAAATTCTAGGTACTTTCAAGAAGAAGGCCAAGTAGAGCTTAGCCTCCATAGAAGGATGGATAACAGAGGTGGGTGGAATTAAAACTATCTAATTCCTTTGCTAAAGCAAAGTAATGGCACCTGACGATATGAGCTCCTGCTTTTGGCTGACGATCTCGTGTGAAGATCCCTTTCCGATTTCCATAAACCCTCTTTGAATCTGCACATAAACATGATCATAACTATCACCATATATTGTCAGAATTGAGATGTCCTGGATGATTTTCAGCAGCATTTTGTAATCCAGTATTAATAATAATCAGCATTATAATATTTATGGTCAGGCATATGAATAAAAAGAGCTGAGTTTTCATTTACCAATCAGGAAGAGACAACTTCAAAACTGAATCTATGATGATTCTTGCTTAACCTAACTCACCCTGATCAGTCATGAAGTCAGCAAAGTTCCAAATCATTTCTCCAATGAGAAAAGAACCTTCTTCTTGGCGGAGACCTGCATAAGCTTTGAAATGCTCCAGGAGAAGCTCAACTTGATAGTCTTCTGTAAACACGAACCCTGGAGACTGGAACACATTGCCTTTGTTTAAATTGAATATCTAATCAATTAATGAACTACTTGAGTTTCTCAATTTTTCCTTCTTGTTTTTTTTTGCCCCTACTATGTAAGAACATAGGCAATTCTTGCATCACATAAAAAATCTACCATTGTTTTGACAATGTGGAGCTTGAAGCACACTAAAATGACCTGCAATTCTGACTGCTAAAGTTATTGTGGATTAAAGGAGTGAAATCAGTGTGCATGTGCCAAGTTATGATTCATTCTCCATCTCTCTTTAGAATTTCCCATAATCATAGGATTTCTGCAGGAAAGGATGGAAAGATGGGTCCAGGGAGATCCCAAGAGACAACAGAAAACATGATGCCTTCATAGGATGCAGGAAAGCACTTGTCATTAGGGTCCACCTCCCCATCCCTGAACTTAGTTGAATGAGTTGTGATGAAACTGACATTGTGAAGGCCAGCAACAGCTCCAGCTCCATACTCAGTGACAAGGACAGGCTTATGATACTTAGCATGCCAAGCATGGTACTCATTCTGCACTTTCTGCCCAATGACTTCAGTTTGTCCTGGGTCTTCATACCATCCAAAGTACCGGTTCACACTCACAACATCTAGCAGGTCCCCCTGCAGAAGACAAAAACATATCAACCATGATTCCAACATCTTCTATAAGAACTCAATGAGCACATGGTACATCAACAGTATAACATTCAGGATGCTGCTATGCTCCAACAGAAACTCTCAAGCACTGGAAGATGCCTCAAGACCATTGAGACTATATTGAGACAAAACTGGATATCGACTAGAGTTAATCTAACAGGGCTCCTGAGACTCCCATTAGCAAAGCATTCATTTCATGCATGCAAACATCAGATTAAGTCTGTGCAAATGGATCAGAACTTCTTAAAGTTTCAAAAGTCTCAAGTTGAGGATTTAATTATGATCCATTTCCATTTCCATTCCTTCACACTTGTAATGAAGAATAACTTGAAGTAGGGACTTCATAATATGAGAATTTCTCCAGTTCTCTCACAGTTGAAATTCCAAATGAGGTAGAAATAAGACTTGCACTTTGGGAAAGATACCAGCATAACCAGCTGGTGCATAGGAGTGAAAACATCTTACAAGGTGAAGGAATAATCTCACCACATGATCCTTGTCTACTGCTGCATTCAAGACAAGAGTGATTGGACGAGTCTTGTCGAGAGTCCGTGCCAATTCACTCAGGTGCCTAAGAAGACACAGCAGACGGGAAAGACACGCTTACTTATATTCCAAAAATTACTGAGAAAAGTTTTGTTTGGTTTGGTTTACAGGCCCTTTCTCCTTTCACTGTTGATGGCAGTTTTCATGATTCATGTCAGGGAAAAATTGATCTATTGATGCATACCACATTTCCTTACTCTTAAGAAGATGGTCACTGGAATATTCCTCACTGTTCCTATGTGGAACTCAGGAAAAAAATGCTGTGCACAAAGATCACTTTTCTTTTCACCTCTTCATACATTAGGAGAGTAATGAAAATAAAGGGATTAAAGAATTAGTCCCTTTGATGGCTTCATTTTCCAAATTTGAATGCTTCTCATAGCAGAATTTTTGTACAAACAACAGGATTCTCTCTTTACGCCTTTATTAAATGTTTTTGGATCAGCTCTCTCTCTTGCAATACAATTCTGCCGTGTCATAGATTCTCAGTCATTCATAGTCATTGAAGAATTCAATGCAAAGCAAATAATTGGCACTGGATGTTTGCTTATTGCTGGAAATCACAGGAGACAGGCAGAGGTCAGTCACAATGACCCATTCCAAGTGGAAGATCACTTTCTGATGGCTGCTATTATGCCTGAATTACTGACAATGGGCATCATACAATTCATTAATGAATTGATGCTATGAAAAATGTCTCAAAGCATATCTTTAGAAGTATGGCACCCAAAGATGCAATTAGTCTTTTGTATCACTTCAAATGGGGTGGAGTGACAAAAAGGATTATAGATTTATAATTTAAAAAAAATGGACAAACTATATTGCTCTCTGCCTGTTGAGGCAAGCAAAATGGTCTGGTGTTATGTGGAGAGCAGGCCCACTCATGAGTTGGACCAAGGCCCCTGATACTCAAAAAGTATGTGCATGCAAGTAGAGCCAGTTATTTGCAATGACATCACAATTTAATAACCTATACTACAGGAGCTTATGGTGTGTAACTCACTGGAAGTAAGGCCTAGAGGAATTCTCAACTGTTTGGCATTCATTACCCAATGACCACATGATGACAGATGGGTGGTTTTTGTCCCGAGAAATCAGCTCTTGAAGAATCTGAGTATGTAAGTCAAGAACCTCCTTTTTGAAATGCCTGAAGGGAAGGGAGGAAAAACAAAAGAGAAAGAATTAATGCTTGAGAGGAGCCATACTAAAACTGTAACCCATGACATAGTGTCATCCATAGCATATTTAAACTCAAGAACTCAGGGGAACACTGAGAATCACAGACCGGAGAGATACAGCTGGAGTCTCATCAATGATAAGGATCCCATGTCGATCAGCCATATACATAGTTTCCTCAGAGTATGGGTAATGTGATGTGCGGAATGAATTGGCACCGACCCACTTCAAGAGGTTAAAGTCCTTTATAAGAACAGATAAATCCTCACCCTTCCCTTTCACCTGAAAGCAAAGGTTAGAATATTTTGTACCACACTCAACTCAGGGGCTAAGGAAGAGTGATCACAGAAACAAAAGATCAGTGTTACAAAACTTCCCCATCGTTTTTGTGAGAAGCCAGTGAATAGAGGGAATGCTCACGTGGAAGTCCTCATGCTTTCCGAAGCCCCGTAAGTAAAGAGGCTTCCCATTGATGGTCAATGAAGTATCATTCCATTGCAGATGACGTATTCCAACAGGCAGACGATAGATATCCCCATCACTTGATGCAAGTGAATTTGGATTGCAGAGAGAAACCTAAAATGGATCAAACCAATAGAAAGAAAATATTCCTCACTCTGCTCATGTCTAGACAAGCATAATTTTCTCTATAGGCCTTCATTGAATTTGCAACAAATATATGCATCCTCAGTTTTACTATGTTGTACCAGCAATAAGAGAATTTTCCAATATTGTCCTGATAGCCTTTCTATTGCTTTATAACTTGATTCACTCATGATACAAGACAGCTGTGTGGGGCAGAACTTTCACACTACTAGACCTTCAGACCTCCCAAATTCAAAAAGTTAGAATTTTGACCCTTCCTGTAACATAAGATAGAACCACATAAGGGAGAATGAATAAGGAAAAATATTGCTGACTGTTTCATTTCCAAATAATGCTCATTTCTTGCATGAATATTCATTTGACTGATGTATGATAATATGCCATATAAACTTTTTCCATCCACTCCATTATACCTTTCATATCCTTCTTTGTCCTGTAGACAATTTGCTGCAACATTTTTAGCAAACCAAGGAAGCTCATGACTGGGAGATACTGACAGCTTGTAAATACCTTGCAAGGCATGGATACTAGCCACAGAGGATTCTTGGTCTGAGTGGTAGATGGCTGTCATGAGAAAATTAATGTTAGAAGGTCCAAATAGTATCCAAGGCAATAGCAAGATCAAAGCAATGTCTTTTTTTTCACTATTGAAATATGAAACTGAGTTTCTACTGTCAATTATGACCATACTTTTAGACTCCATGAGGAGTTTATTTCATATTGTGCTGAAAATCAGCTAAATATTCCACACAAAAAAACTCATGTGAGGCAAAGGAAGGAAAGTGCTCCAGACAGACCCACAGGTAGGTGGGATTGTGAAATGCACCTATCATTATTGCAGCATACAGAATTTAAACCTTTAACCTGATTCTACATGCAGTTAAAACTCTCTTACTATTCTCTAGAAGCTTTAACACATAGAACTTTGTATTCATGCCAGTCCAGTTAAAATGAAAAACTTTCCCCGAATGACCCAATTGCAGATGAAATCCTGTATGACCACTGTGTTCTTCACTTGAGTCAGATAATTGTTTACTTGATTCAGACACCTGTGCATGGGATGTTCCTCATGCATGAGTGTCTGGGTCAAGTGAAAAATTGTCTAACTCAAGTGAAAAACATTGTAAAACAAGGGACCTGTTCTTTGCCTATACTAAATCCAAGTCTAAACTTGACCTAAACTTGACCTGAACACATAGGGAAAAATATTCTTATCAATGTCTGTTTCTTGTCTGGGTTAAATTAAGTCTAAGTCTAACCTAAAAGGAGCATAACAGCAAAAGTCTGTCCTGCACCCAAGAAAAAATGTAGGTATATGCCCAGGCATAGGCAAATTTAATCTAAAAGGACTAAAAGGGGAATATTTTCAGACTTGTCTAACCCAGTCTAAATGCTGTCTAAAATGAGATGAAGGGAAAGACCCTCAGTAACATTTGCTGAGATGAGTGACTCAGAACTCAACAATACTGTAACTGCATAGGTGATGGACTGACAAGGTTCCAGCCAAAACAATCTCACTCACATCCATAATCAGTGCACATAAATGGTAGAGATTATTAAATATGATCTGTGATTTAGGTCTCAAAGTTTTCAACTTCAGCTCATAGTCTTAAGATGTCTTTTTGCTGTTTCACTTAATGCTATTTGGTTGCAGTGGAGTCTATAGTTACAGTTCAGTTTTGACTAAAAAATGGATTTCAACAATGGATTTAGTTTCAAATTAAAAAAAGATGCAGTTTTTACCATAATTGTCAATGGTGAAGAGGGAGGATGAGGGGAATGTATAACAATACTTCATGTACATAGTAATATGGGTAGACCAGGGATGTCTAAGAACAAGGATGAACTATGTCTATGGAGGGGATGTGGGGAAGCAATGTATTGTCACTATTCCCCAAGAGCTGGTTATGAATTTCTTGATTTTACATTCTCAGTGTGAACCATTGCAAATAAAGTGAAACCTTCCCATCACCATAGTTCTTTTTAGTACACTAATATCCTCCTGGTCCCCGAGTAAATAATACTATACTTTTTTTTAATTAATGAGAAAATAAATCCAGTTGGTTACCCTGAAACCCTTCTAGTATGGTATTTATACAAGTTTTTCCCTTGGTCCAACAGGTCTGCTGGCCTAAAATCTCTAATATGATTACTGAACAAATATGGTGGCAAGTTGTGAAACATTCATTCAACCCATTCAGGGATTAGGAAGATTGATACACTGAACCAGTTTGCCCAGTAGAGGGATGTAAGCAAGCAAATGGCCATTCAGTATGCAAACTCAACTGGTGATACAAACCAAGGTTAGCTCTGCTGAACTGGTGCTGAGAGCAGCTCAGGGTAGAATTCAACATATTTAGGTTAGACATAGAGGGACAATACAGAGATCAAACACCCCTACCTTTCATTGGCAAGCTTATGCAATGAAAGGTATGATGCCATGATACAGTGGCATCAATGCAGTTTTGGCCACTGACATGATCATTCCTGCCATTTTCCACTTTACATATAATGGATTTGTTTCCTTGGATCATTTGTTATCACCATCCACTTCACCCTAGACTGTCCAGATCAGTGAATTTCATCAGATAGGGAGGAAAACAGTCAGATAGTATGCCCTACCATAAAATGATTTGTGCTCCTTATCCATAGAGGGCACTGGGTAAATTACAAGCACTTCGAAACAACAAATATTTAGAATAATAGTTAGGTCTACTGTGTAGACACATAATTACCTACAAAGAAAAGTTGCTTCTCTTGAATAGAAACTAATTGCATTTTATTTCACATTACTTCTTATGAACCTGGCAGAAAATAATATAGCCAGTTGCAATTTGAGTAATTGTTAAAGTTCCTTTACCATCAATCCTCTGTTGCACACCTTCCACTATAGACAAACAACAGTAGACAGACAGCTGAAGGGGGAAAAAAAGGATAGAAGTAGCAATGAATGAAAGAAATGGGAAAAAGCATACTTCCTTTTGTGTACACTAGTGGAGAAGTACTTGTTAGACAAAGTAGAAATCATAACTTTTAGGCAGAGATGATGAAGACTTTTATGATGGAACATTTTCAGTTTTGAATGTGGAGGAAGCACCTGAATAATATCTGCCAGGTTATACTTTCCATTGCTATTTCCTGGATGCAAAATGCAGCTGTTATCTTCAATTTCCTGAAAAACCATACTTGATATAGCTTCTTACTTTCTAAAACTCTCCATAAAATATGATGGCAAGCTGGCAATCATCTTGGATTCTGCTTACTTGGAGCGAGTAGAGATAGCCAGGCTGTGGATGCATGAATAGAGGCCACCAGAGGTGCGGGTCATTGATAATGAAAGTGCCTTGAAGAGAAAACTTTTCATCCACTAAGTGGCCATCAGAATCATACAGGGCGATATATGGCTCCAACTTGTCCTCCTTGGTAGCACCATTTACTATCACAATATAGTTCACCACTCCTTCAAAAAGAAGCAAATGAGGTACTAAAATCAGACATGGTACTTAGCCTTCCAGGGGGAGGAGAGAAATGTGTCCTGTCATGGATAAGGAGAAGGAACTCACAGAGCAGGCGAACACCCACTCAATCAGTCATGGCATTTGAGCTACCTCTGCATGCAACTTATTACTCTAACTTTTAACAGTTACAGTGACTTTATGAATGTTTGAGAATGAAACCCTCACTTGAATATATAGTGAAAGCAAAAAAAAAACAAACAAAGGTGTCAATTTGGTGAGTTGTCAATCTGATTGCAGCCTGCCAATTCTGATGAAATTTGGCAGACACATAGGGTGACTCAATTCAGGTATGCGTGCCAAGTTTAAAATAAAATTCCAAAAACTGTGAGAATGGCATTTAATTTACTTTAAATCATGAAAAGTAAATGTTCATTTTTTAATTTAAACCTAAACTTTTGCCATGAGATTCATCAATTTTCCAAATGACATATTCAAGCCTACTCCTTGACCAATTTTTGTTTAAAAAATTCACTCATTTTCCTTGCACTATGTCCCTTTTCAAGTCAAGTTTTTAATAAGAGCACTTGTGCATTTTTTGACAATGCACTTTCACCTGAAACAAAAGGAAATAAAATTTTTACTTTTTTTTAATAGAAATTTTGAAATCCCACTTAATATTAGGCAAGCTAACCTAGGTTTTCTTAAAATGTATTTATTGTAGGTAGGTTGGCCTTAGCCTAGCCTACCTTATAAACCAACTTAGCTAAGCTACTGTAACTGTTAAAGTTAATAACTGTTAAAGAATAATAATAACTGTTAAAGAATAATAAGTTACCTGCAGAGGTAGCTCAAATGTGGTGGGCGATCATGTATACCACAAATACAGACCTCGAGTTCATATTGATATTTTCAACAGCACATTCTGTGGTGGGTCATTTGAAAATAATTATGGCTCCAATAATTTTAGAGCCAGAAGGCTGAAATTCAGCAAACCCCAATTTAGTCACTCTGTAAGCCTACCAAATTTCATCAGAACTGACAGCCTACAATCAGATTGACAACTCTCCAAAAATGACACCTTTGCTCTTTTTTTTCCCCATCCTGTTCATTCGAAAGGGGATCTATATGGAAGGTTGATTGCTGGATCCATTGCAAAAGAGGCTATTGATTCCAAAGAAAATGTCATAAGTCCCATGTTTTACATGGTTGGAAAACCCAGTAGAGAAGCTTTTAGCTCTTCATCTAGAAATTTACAGGAATACATTATCTTCAAAATTTTCAATTTCATCGCCCTGCATGAACAAATGAGAGGAATAGTGAAAAGTTGGAGAAAACATAGTTTACCTATTTTTGCCATTACCTTCATGGTCAAGGACGTTTTTGATTTAGGTGCAGAATAAAAAAATTCCCTGTACATGGGAATCCACTCTCTGCTCGTCAATGACAGCATTCTTACTAGGTGTGGTGGAAGATTAACCATAAAATTAATCACTGAATCTCAGCTAATTCAAAACAAAATCAACCATGGGTTGAATAAATAACATAATTAAAGCAAGAAGGACAATGGCCAAACAAAGATCTCTTCTGCAAGTGTGGTTCCATTGAACCATGCCATACAATGAAAATGTAATACAAGTTTGGCAATAAGAATGCCAAGGAATCCTACCTTGATCACCATTTAATCCAGTGTGGATGTGAATATCCTTGATGTAGATTGTAGGCGTTGTGTACAGGAAGACATGACGATGGATTCCAGCATAGTTGAAGAAATCAAACCATAACTCCTGCCTCTGGATACCATCAGACCACCTGCTTTAAAAATAAAGAGTATGGCAAAAAGGATATCCCAGTTTCTAACCAATAAGTCTCTGTTCTTACTATTGCTTTAGATAAGACTTGCATTATGCATAGAGTGACATGTTCCTGATAAGACTTTTGAAATTTCATTCAAATTCATTGTGATGAAGCCAGGCTATGAGCAATTATTGCAAAGAAATTAAAATTAAATTTTAAAATAAAAAATAAAAAATGGACAGAAGCCTAGGCTACCAGTAAAGTGGAAGAAATGTCTTTGTATTCTGGTTACACATTATGGAAGCCATATGAACACATCTCTCTCATTGAAATTCATTATTTGAGCTGGCCTTTTGTTCAGATGGTTTTGATAAGCTTCTTTTTCTACTTAACCCCTTAACTGGGGTGACCACCTTTTGAGGTTAAAATTTCCACTTTGCCCATTGCCTATAGGCATCCCTGCATTTAGATGGTCTGAAAGATTCTGAGTGGATGCTGAAAGGCATGTGCACACTCCACATATTTAGAGATATTCTGTTAACATACAGCAGAAAAAAGACTTCCCAGTATGCAGCAACAACAATCCCCAGTATTGGGGTTAATAACTGATGAAATAGAAAGGTGTTGATACAGAAGCTTTTCTCCAAGTTTCTCCACATTTTCCCATCATCCTCATCATGTTTGAGGGGTTGGTAGATGAAGTTTAACATTCTGAATGGACTGAAGTCCCCAAACCATTTTCAAGTTCTTAGTTCTTTTGAATAATCGTTCATGGACTTGCTCTGACAGCAAATCTGGATTAAATGTAAAAGACCTGATAAGAACATATCAGTTAACACACATAGCAGCTTTATGAAAATAACCCAAGTAAGAGTATAGATACACAAAGTGATTATAAAGAAAGTTTATATACAATTCAGAGAACTGTAGCACCTAAAAGAATAAGGAATATGACAATGCCATTGCACATATGTGACAAGTGGCACATGGAGTATGACTTCCAGCTCTGACAAAATCATTACCACTGGGATGAACCCATTCCATACTTGCAGTACCTACCAAATCTTGCCCTGGAGGCATCAACAAAGCATGATTTGCATTGAAAGCATGCCATTTGTGCTGGTAAGCTGCAGTATATTTCCTCTCTACACTCCTCTTGCCTTTATTGTGGATATTGGTCTGTATTGCAGTGTCATTGGTGTTTTCACACAACTTTTCAGAGGCATTTCTATGGAATATACAAATTATGCAATGGTGACAACCTTGTAGCAAGATTTGGTACACACTCGAATAAATACCCCATGTGTCATTAGTCATGCCTGTGATGGCACCATCCTACACCTTATAGTTTAGGCACAATATCACTTGGAAGTGGAATACTTACTTCATATTCACCATATACATTATAAGTTAAGGTCTCTCTTGCCATACCCAGAAGAATATTGTTGCCAAGGGCCACAATAACAGCCCCAATTTATAAAAAGAAAAGGCTTCTGTAGAAAATGAGAACTAAAGGAATCTCTAATTATAAGGAACTCTTTCCTTCCACAATCTAGGCTTATAGTCTTCAAAGCTTCCACTGGCAGTTTTGTGAAGCAAGGAGAGTTCCTTTTCAATTTCTTTGATTCTTATTATCAATTTCTCCATGCAATTGCTTTCAACTAATAGTTTGTGTCATGATTTGGTACTATGTCAAGTGTGGAGTACATCCTGATTTCCGTTCAAAATGACTGCAGTGAATCGTGGTCAATGTCCTCATATACCAACAGTCAAGAAACCATAAAAAATTATTCTAAGAAAAGAGCTCTAGCTTCATGAGGGAATGCAAAGTATCAAGCATAATTACTGCTTTAACTGCATCTCTTCCTTCATTACAGAGACTTTCAATGTTGGATTATGACTCAAAGACTAGAAATGTTCAATGCTGGTTGCTTCCAAATTCATGTTCATGATGGATGAGTGAGCTTTGATTCTGACTCCAAGCAGCAAGTTTATCCCTTTGCAATCCACTGTCAAACACAGTCTGACAATCTCCATAGCATTGCAAATAAAATGGATGGCAAAGGGTTAACAATGCAGAGATGACCCAGACAATGCAAGAAAAATGTCCTAGATATGTTCCAGTAGAAGATTTCATGCTATGAAAGTCAATGGTCACAGATCACAGATAATAGCTTAGCTCTGCTTTCTCCAGACTTATAGTGAATGTACTATTCTGAACCCTTATAATAGTGGCAATAGGACACAAAAAAAGGAATGCTGTAAGATCTCACCCTGGCTTTAGGTCTGATTGGGGGATTGTGCTATGACTGAGTGTGTTATTCACTGCAACCATAACTTGATTCTTTCCACCAAATAAGAGATTGTCAGTGACTTCAGTCTCAAATGGCAAATGGCCCCCTGAATGCTCCATAACATGATCTCCATTTAGATACTAGAATGAGACCAATATTGGGAGTAAGTTTCTCAGAATACAGAATGCACAGAATACAATACCTCTTGTTCTTGCCCTCACCTAGAAAACAAGATGAGGTTGGGTAATGATTATGAATGCAGAAGACACTCTTCCAAATGTAAGAAAACATTTTCCAGAAATCCTGCAAGTATTTTGTTTGCATGATTAGTATGCATTGAGTTGGTCAGAATGACTTCAGTAAATCCTTTTCTATAGTGAGCACTATGGATTAATGCTAGATGGCTCTATCAAACTGAGGGGGATTTGTATGAACTCAAGGGTGAAAAAAATTATTTTTTCTCTCATTTCCCCCCAGTAGCCAGCTACAATCACCAGCAATAGAATTGCAGGTGGAGCAATAATGATACAAAACTCTCATGAAGATGAAGCATTAAAGTTGGAAAAAAAAAGGACAATGTACTCTGACAAAAGAATCTTGCACATTTAATGAGGCATATTGTTTTTAAAAAATCTTTTCCTTTGCATATCTGTTATGAAGTACTACCTAATTCAAAAAACCCTCTATGGTCTTATCATAATCATCTCAGGGAAAGAGACTGTTGAGAGTGTGGGAAGAAGAACTTACAACTTCAGAATGATAGTGTACAGATCCAAAGCGCAAAAAGACTCGCTTTGTTTGCCATGAGGAAGGACAGAAGAAGGTGTGCTGATACCAGACCCAGCCAACATGGTCTCGCAACTCTTTGGATTGTGTAATATCATTAAAGCTTGAGGGGACTGGCATTTCTTGCACTGACCCAGTCTGGAAAAGGAACAAAAGCTCATTGAATACTTCTCAGACACACTGCCCTCAATGATATGCAAAAAGTTCAGAATCAAACACCATTTTCAAGCCAGAACTAGTGCCATCAGGAACATCTAAAACCAAAACGACCATGTTGTGCATATAGGGGATGGCAAAAAAAAAGGCTAATGATTTTCAATTAATACATCTCTGTTCCCACTGGAGATTTTTTCACAGTGCATGTATGGATATATTTCCAAGATATCTTTGAAACTTCTTTCAGATGTATTGCTCCAAAGCAAGGCTATGAGCAATGATTAAAAAGAAGTTGAATAATGAAAATGCACAAGAGGTTGCACAGGCAGGAGAGAGGAGGACACACCTATGTGCTCCACATGCATTTCATGCATATAATGCAGGTTATATATAGGGTGCCTAAAAAAAAAACGCTCTACTGTTTTCTATGGGAGAAACACAATTTCATAAATGCAGCAAAAAAATTGCTTTGGATACTCAAACGATATTCGACAGTTACATGGTGTAGAAATGATGGCCAGCTTTTTTCAGCACTCCTGCTTAAGTTGTGCAATCCCCATTGAGAGGTGAATTAAAGGCACTTAGAGGTGGTTCATTCCACCCCAAGTGAGTCAACAGCAGCACCCTTTATCGGGATACAACGCCATCTTCCGGAAGTGAAAAAAACCTCTTAGACTCTTGAACTTCTCTGTAAAGTATCAACCATCCCTTAAAAAGTTAAAGTTGAAAAATTCATTGAATTATGAGATGGTCAAGCAAAGGAATATTTAATAGAAGGGAAATAGATCAAATAGATCTACAACTATAGAGAAAAAAAATAGATCTCGTCTCCATAGAATGATCACACATTCATCTTAATGATTTAAGCCTTGAAAATGCCATAAAACCAACACAATAACCACCATGCATGTTCTCACTTGTAAATTAACTCCTCATGACTTTGATGGGTGCTGTCATCTAAGTGCCATGAACAAACTTGAAGATACAGAGAAAAATGAAGAACATGACATGACAGCAAGAGCATGCAATGTGGTGCATTTGGGCCTCAAATGGTTAATACTTTACCTCCTATCTTTTATGGGTAACTGTATGTTGAATATTTATTGGTGCATATTATTTGCAGGTGGTTGTGACATGCTGATTCAAAGTTTTCTACACAGAAAATGAGATATTTTAGCTTTGTATATGAGCAGCAGAGACCTTGCCAAGGGATTTTAAGAAAGCTTTTAATTATAAAGTTTCATCTTAAGATAAGAGATCAAGTACTTTGCTGATGAGTAACAGTGTGTTTATTACAAATTAAAAATGTTTTTTGGATTTAATGGCAGAAGAAAAGGATGAGTACTTTGTCTATCAGGCATCAAGAATGATGAGTAGGCCTACTGTTTATGAGGCAAATCTCCAATAAATTCAAACAATTGGTTTTTATGAGCCTTGGAGGCTCATTAGACTTCCTCATCTAATACCAAGTAAGATATGTATTTTTATGGTTCAAGCAAAAAAAATCAATCTAAATACAATCATGATAAAAGGAGGTTATGCTAATGTCACTACCAATTTCATCATCCTCTATGACAACTGATCTCTGCAAAAAAGGGCAACTATTGTTGCAGACAATAAGCATAGAGAAGGATATCATTATGCACAACACAAAGAGTTATGGATATAGAACAACAGGAGACCTTTATTTCTGGGAAATTGCTTCTTGATCTACACCAACTATATTTCACTTCTCCCAAAAATGCTTCTATAATATTTCCAGGCACAATTTCTAAATTTCTGCACAGCACACTCACACTCTGCACTTCTCTCTATAAGATATCAACATGGGCCCTTAATTATTTCTTCAGGCATTAAGATAGCAAGGAAATTTTTTTTCCATCATAGGTGCACATCTTTTAAAATTTTTTGCCCATGCAAACACAGGCACATTGCACTCTGTCTCCTTTTTACAACTCAGCATAATTTCTCAGTCAGGCAATCACAAAGGAGATACAATGACATTGACTAAGATAAAATTCACTCTCAAGTTGAAAATCGTCAAGAATTCAAATGGATTTGACATTTAGAGTAAATATATACTTACATTCACAATGGAACGCAAAGGCCAATTTTCTCGAAAGCCAATGCTCGGGTCTGAGGGAGGAGCAATTTGAAACTGCCATATTCCATCCAGGAGCTTTGTCTCTCTGCTTTCAGAGTCTTGTGGGTATAAAATTGCTAAGCAATACTCCAGACATAAGGCTAACAGAAGTGCTCTACAAACCCCATTTGATGGCATCCTCAACAAGGGCATTAGGGTCATTTCTCTCGCTCTCCATATACCTGCATAAAATCAACCAGAAAGAAATGATGAAATGAAACACCAACTCTTTAAATGCAGATTCCCAATACAATATATACACTAACAATAAGAATTTTACAAAAAGTGCACAATCATGTTGCTTTGGTCAGCATGGCAATCTGCCATCTCTTGCAGTTCTTCCTCCACTCACATACCTCTCTCAAAAATTCACATGCTATTTATGCTTAACATTTAGAGGCCTAGCATGGTACTAGTACCATGCTTGAACACTGTGTGAGCTAGCCTGGTGTGGTACTAGTACCAAAGTACCATAGCTAAAATTAAAATCCCATTAAAATCAGATTGCGGTTGTATTCTGACTGAATCTGCAGTGCGATTGATCTAGTGTCTTTGGCAACCTCTAGCTGGGATATCACAGAATACCATGCTAGTGCGGTGAAGATGAGGGGTAAATGTCAAAATCTGTCAAAACTGGAGCATTGCTAACTGTCTAAAATGATGGATGATGCTAAAGTAGGACCATGGGGTCCTTGTACTAGAAACAACTGCATAATTAAGGTATTCTGAAGAGATATTGGCTCAGTATTGGAAGTGAAAAAGATACCTAATTGTGTATTCTACCATCAGATGAGTATTATATTACCATAATCAACTGGCATGTGTTTCCACTCTTCAACTGTTAAATAATTGGCCTATATTGCATATCCTGTGAAATCATTACTCTGTGCGTTACAAGTATGAAAGTGAGGCCGAAACTTTAATTTATGCTCATTTAAATACAATTATAGTCATTTTCCTCTGTTGCAGTTGTGACTTTACATGAGTTTATTCACACATATTAAAAACCCTTAGGTCATGGGGCCTACCATATGAAACGACACCTGGGTCTCTAAGCATTATATACAACTGCTTCAATGGATGAGATCAGTGCATCAGAGAATTTCTGCAGGAAACATTGTCAACAAGTTTTCATGTTCAAATTAAACATGTTGCAAAACAATGCATAGTTTAGAATAGGCTTCCAGGCTTCTCAGGTCAATTTTATACCTGTTAATGCCAATTCCTCCATCCTATTGGAGTATAGCTTTAATTCTGAAACATCTCAGGCAGTTTTGGGTACCTGATCTATATTCTGTTTGATTTGATTTAACCTGAAGCTACCATGCTTCAAGGATACAAAGTACAGATGGTCACCTTTATTCATGCTTGATACTACTTCTTACTACTCAAAACCAAAATGGCTACTGAGATTTTCAGGGTTACTTACATAAAGAAACTTTACTTGTGTAACAAATTTGTTCACAGCCATGACTACTACCAGCATCAATTCTAATAAGTGAAGGGGCATAGACATGGGAAAAACACACCATCTTGAGAGATAAGAGTGAATGCGACAAAATAATAATTTTCATATTCAAAAACAAACTAAAGCTTGCATAATTAATTTAGGCAATTGCTCTTCCAAAATGTAATGCTCAAATAACACCTCCATGCTAAAAATTACAAGGGATTTTAAAAGTTACTGCCTGAATTTTTTCTAGTTAACATTCAGTTGAGTAAGATTCTCAATCTCACAGGTCCATAGGAGCGGGCAGAAAATCATTTAAAAAAAGATACAGTGTCACTCAGCAGCATTAGTCATCAATGAAAAGAATGCAGGCATCCCACCAGTCTGGTGTGAGACTTTTCTCATTCCACTCTAATTCCAGCAAAAGGGATGATGAAAATGAAGAAAAAAGAGAGAAAAAACTTCTTTTTTAGGGGCATGCTTTTGAGAGAGGTATTCTCGCCTTTCAGAAACCATAATCCCTCAGAGCTTTCATACTCCAGCTCTTGTCCTTAGAACCCCAAATTATCTGATTGAGAATGGCCCAGGAGACTGGAAGATGCATCCTTATCCTGCATCTTGTCTTGTTTATTACATGCCCTACCAATCTGTGCTGGATATTTGACAGAGGAAAGCAAACACTTGCTTTTGAAACTGCTGCACAGGCTTGCCACTATATCCAGCATGAACAAGTATAGGTCTGTTACTAATTTTGTTGAGAAGGTAAATTCTCTAGGTACTGCCCTGGCCATGCACATTTCAAGGAGTGAAGATCATCCTTTGAGATCAGACATACAAATAGCCATTGGACAACGGAGTGGTCCCGTTACCAGAAATGGTATTTGCCATCCCAAAGCCAACCCATCCAAGTTTAAAAAATCTTTTTTGTATGTATTTCTATCTAAAAGAGACTTTTTATCATACATAAATTTTTTTACGTACATAGTCTTTGCTTTGTTTTGCTGTATTATCTTGGGCTGTAATTTTTTGCAAGGTGTCTGACAACCAGAATCCATGGAAATAAAAAGCAATTCAAATTCAAATTATCAATGAAAGCTCTGGAAAGAGGCATTTGGATCAAGCAGATACATTAGGGATACACTAGGTTTCTACTAGGACTAATTGTCTGTTCAAGGATAGTGCCAATTACTGTTTTCAATAAAAAAAAATAGAGAATTGGAATGTGAAATGAAGCATGGTATTGAAACATGGCATTATTTCAAAATCTGTTGAGAGTCCCTTCAGTCCAGTGCTGTACAGAAAATCAAGTCTCTCAGTTTCAAACTTGATTTTAAAAAATAATAAAGAATAAAATACATATTTTAAATTAGCAAAACTCTCTGAACCCCCAGATGAATATCAACTTGTTTGCTGGAATTTCCTTGACTGCACATCCTCCATATATATCTACATTCATGACCCCCACATTGTTAATATGTATGCAGTAACCAAGAGCTAAAATGCCATTGTTTTGCAGGTGAATAGTGGAAATTAGAAATCTTATTTATGTGCAGTTCTCAGTCCTGCCTCATCGCACTAGTTTATTCCCATTCTTGGAGAAAGAGAAAGTATCTCCATTCCTGCTCTTGCCTCTTGTGCCTGACCCAGGTGAGGATCAGGCTCAAAGGCCTTCTGTTCTGCTCTTTTTCTTTATGGGATTAGGAGACCTCAGCAAGAAACAGGGGAAACTGAGTATTTCGACAACTTGTACAGGAGAGACAGGCAACATAGGCCCATTTGATTAGACAGGAAGAGGGAACTCTTCATTGATGTCCCTCTCTACTGCTCATGGAGTTCCCATTCCCTGAAAGTGATGATGCCCTCCCATCATCCAAAGAAATGGAAATCTCAAAATACTACTTCAAGAAACTGTACACCAGGAAATAATAGGATAATTCTATATTAGAAACATTTATGTTGCATCAACAGTATGTTAAGAGAGTATCAAGCTTAGGAGAGAGCTGGTTTTCTGAGTAAATCAAATCAGCTGAGAGTCTTGCAGGGACTTTTACATGGGAAAACACCAGTGTCCCTAGGCCATGTATGAAAAATACAATTCTTAAAATTTGTTACTGCTGTAACATAAATATATCATTTTTTTATTATCAAAGTATGAAATTTATGAATGGCAGAGATGCAGGAAAGAGATGTTATCAGAACCTAAAAGGAAACATCCATGGTTTGGAATTCCCATGTGCACTGGGCAGAAAATCAATGAGTAAGTTGTTGGAGCAATGAAATCTTGTCTTTAAAAATATTTGCACTGTATCTGCAAATGACATTATTCCATTCAGGTCTTCAATCAGAATGAACAAGAAGTTGTTGAATCAGTGTGGTATCCATATATTATGGAGAATTAAGTTTAATGGGCAGATATGCAGCAAAAAAAAGTTTTTGTGGATGAGGAAATTAAAGATTTCATGAGTGGGTAAATGGACTTAGTTAAGCCCATGTACCCATTCATGAAATTCTATGGAAGACCAGGAGAGCCAAAAATCCACCCACAATCCAAAAGAGAGGGACATGGGGGGTTGGACTGGTAAAGAGCTGGGCTCCTTTGGCAGGGGATCTCGGTTCAACCCATCCAAGTCTGGCATTTATTTCCATGTGCAAGCCCCAGTGTGCTTTGGAAGAGGACCCCTGAGCATTTGGCACCTCCACCTCAGGATGTGAGATATTAAATATTCCTGGCGGTGAAGGCCAAACCCGGGTAGCGTACCCTGGAATAACGGGCCAAATTGAGTCTCCAAAAGATTTACTTGTGTTAGCTGAAGTTGCGGGGTAGGGAGAAAATTCATGTAGGATGGTGGGTTAGCTGAATTAGACAAAAGCCAAGGATGCAGTTTTGGTCCAATTGCCTCTTGCTCTCGGTACTTTATCGTATCGCATCAAAGCGTAGCATTAGTATGAATCCATTGACTTTGTACCATTGAATGCATAAACGCTCCAGTAATTAGCATAAATGACATTTTTTCGCTTCAAATTTTTACAGGTCACTGCACTTCATAATTTTGGAAAATGTAAGTACTTAGTGATTCAGGACCAAAGGACACCGTCCTTTGTCACACCATTTGAATCGAAAGGGACAAACACGTGCGATACAGGCCGCATAGAGCGCCGCCATGGCCCTGGCATTCATGGCGTCACTCCTTTGCAACCTATTTTACCGTGGTACATTGTTTTTCACGAGTCACGTAAAGTGTATTTGCGCGGCAAATATCAGTGATGGCTGTTGGAGTACCTGAAAAGTGTCGGACTCAAGTAAAAAAAAAAACTATCAGGGCTTCATTTGGAAAGGAATACGATTGAATGGATCCTGTCGGGGTCTACTGATGAAATTGAAAGTGTTTTTCGTTTGAGTCAGACAGTTTTTCCTTTGACGTAGGCACCTCTGCACGGAATGTTACTCATGCTCAGGTGTCCAAATCAAGTGAAAAACACTAAGCTGAAATTCACTAGTAGAAGGGAAATTTTAAAATTGTGTAGGAAAGTTCGCGCCGTCTAAGCCTGGGCTTATCAGATGTCACCGCTGGCCATACCCTCTAAAGCATAATTGGAGGCCTTGACTTTAGGACACGTAGCACTAAATAACTCAATGTTTGCTCTCAAAAAATGGTACTTAATGGACCACTGAAACAAGTGCATGGCAGTGGTTCAAATATAAGAAAAGCCATTTAGGTTTAGCTTTGTTTGGCTTGTATTAAGTCATGTACACTGACAGCCAAGATAAAGATATTAGACAATTGTACGAAGCAAAACGGGAAATGAACATATGATGTGGTAGGTGGGCAATATGATTTTGTCTTTATATAAATATCATACAGCCCTAGTTAGCTGTATAGATTCATGTACCAGGATGGTGTCCCACATATAGGGTTGCCACCTTTGAATTTAACCAAATATTATGTTCTAAATATACCCATGGCCACCTTAAGCCAAGGCGCCATTTGATACTATGAGTGTGGCTTACTGTTTTTGACTTAAAGAAAATAATATTAGCTGCTGTTAAGTTTTATTAAATTAAAAAGTATTTAAGTTTAAAATATGGGCAAAACAGTGTCCATATTTGGACCAGTTTGCAGTATGGACATTGTATCTGAAATATGTACTGTCCATGCTAATTATGAATGGGCAACCCTACCCACATACCATGGTTAGGTTGATGTGTTCAATCAGGAATGAGGGATAATAGTTTCTTTTATTGTGGTTATGGAAGAGGTAGAGTCGATTTCATGGGTAGGTCTTGACTACATGTGTGATGGGAGAAAATCATTGCTTGGAGTATTGGGAAGTGTCCACCAGGCCTTTCATGACTGCCCAGCCCACTGTGTGGTCATGAATGGCACTCATGTTGAATGCCTCCTCTAATGAGCTGAACCACCACTCATGATGATGTACTAGATATGCTAAAAATTATTCATTGCTACTTCCTCTTGGACCAAACTGTTAAGTAACATTTCCATTCCATCACAAATAATCATTTCTCTTTGTTACTCCCTTTTGCCTGGTGACTTTCTGGAGACACTATATTGATCATACTGCATACATGGTGCAAAACTGTCATTATTTGCCAAATTCATCAAGTTTCATCAATAGTAGAAATAATATAAAATTTTAATTTATATTGTGTAATTATTCCATTCAACCCTCTTGGACTACCTTCTCTGTAACTTGTAGACAGTGATGTCAATCAGGTGCTCCCTTCATGAAATCAATTAAAATAAAATTTTCCTTTCTTGTAATAATGAAGAAAGCAACTTGAATGTGTTCCTGGTTCTTAAGTGATGAAACAGCTATTGACAAGTTGATCCAATAACAGTAAGTCTCAGAAAATCATTTCTGGATAATGAAAAATTTATGGGTGTCACCCAAATCCTAATCAACATATGCTATTACTTGCTTAGTGCTATTTCCAAGTTACTTAGGTATCTGGCACATTTGTGCAAACTGCTAGGCCTCCCAAGGAAAACATTCTTTGTATTTTATAGAGAGATTGGCTTAACTTTCTCACTGGCACTTTCATCTAGATTTACTAGTGAATAATGACCATTTTACAACTTTGGTTGTGAGAAAGATTTGATGATACCACTGGCTAAAGAGAATAAGTTGAGTGAGCTCAAGGAAAATTGGTGATTGGTGAATGGTGAGATGCCACTGGTGAATGGGAAGAACTTGACTCTGGACAGGCCATCAAGAATGGGTATAGAAAGAGGCTCAGGATCATCGGAGAAGGATCAGGATCTTCCTAGTACCTCCACTGATCAATCCAAGAAATACTATCGCCCCCTTGGCAAGAGGTGATGATCCTTTAAGTAACTACTGTTTCTTTTCTTTTCATCATTATAATAAACATTTTCATATTCATTGGGCGGCATGACAATTTTTGCCTTCGATTTTAAATTTTCTTTTTAAGTGTAGGTTAGACGGCTTATAGCTAATTCTATTTGCTCAAGTAATGCTCATAGGCTTTTCCTCCATTTTCCTGCATAACTTAGAGTTGGTGTCTGATTACCTCACATGTAATCTAATGCCTAATTATTTTGATACCTAATCTATTCATTATTTCTGAAAAAAAAGCCTAAGAAGGGCAATGCACAGTGAATAAGCAAAGTTGAAAATGGAAAATTTGCTCAATGTTTATGATATAAAGCCACCAGCAGAAAGCATTCCTGTTCTCTCACCCAGACATGAATTCCTAAAGATATTCTTAAAAGATTAATTGGATGGCTTTGATGTGAAGTCATTTTAACTTGTCACTGGTATACATGCATCCATAAATATGGAAACATCATGGCCATGCATCAAGGATGTTTAATGAATTTTAAAAAATTTTTATTTGACTTGATCTATCAGGGTTCACCCTAGCTTTTTTAAATCTTGAGTCCTGGTGTCTAGCTTCAGGCTCAGAGGGAACATGTTCTGGTGGTTGTCAATGAGTCCCACGGACTTAGGTGCGTTGCAAATATGAGTCTCTCCAAGAAAATATGAGTCAGGGACTCGCTAGAGTGAGGTAAGGTGAACCCTATGCATATAGTTCAGTATGGCTTTTTTTTTCTGTCCGAACAGGAATGAGGGGAAATCGTGTAAAGAGGAATTTTTTTTTATCCATGGGGGAAATGTGCTGATGGGCCCAGAACTTCGTTGTATCTTGTTTTCCTATCTTGTTTTTTTATATTTTTTTTTTTATTCTCATGTCAGAGTAGGTTCTGTCATTACTGAAAGTGGCAGTTTTTTCCTCAACTAAAAAAAGTTTATGCTCTAGAAAATGCCATAGTTGCAAAACTTTTTTTTTTTTTTTTTTCAAGTATGCGAATCGTTAGATGCTGCTGTTCACAGGTAGTCTACTTTATTCGATATAATCTCCATGTATTTTTTTTTTCTCGGTCTATGTGGCCTGCAGCCTGCATAGATCAATATGTTGGCCAGATCTATCCAGGCTTCCTGGAATCCCCCCCCCCCCCCCCCCCAAAAAAAAAAAAAAACCCACGAATGTATCCTTCAATCTACTACCTTGATCGAGTCACTTGGACCTATGTAATGTAATCTCAGTAATGATGCCAAACATTGGTGCCATACTCTACAAGAGTATGCAATTCCCGAATTCTGTAGTGAAATTTTCTAGGAGAAAGAGAGGGTGGGGAATTAGAGGATATTATACTGGAGGAGATTCTTGCGCGTTACACTTGAGCAGCGATTCCCATGCTGTGGGTCGGGTAAAAATCGTGGGAAAAAAGACGTATCCATACCAGAATAAATTCCGCCTCGATGCGACCGTCTCGGCGTAGGTCAGAAAACTTAATAGATGACAGCAATGCCTATACGATGACAGCATTCATATTTTCGCATACTTTAAGTTTCTTTTCAGCAAGCTTCTTTTCTTTTTCCTATGCTCCTAGCCCTTCCTCACTAGGAACTCCTTTTGCAGCCCCAATATTCTCTCCTCTGATAGCGGTGGAGTAAGTATGTCGCACACATTTTTAGAGGTTGGCGAAAGGGTCGCCATTCAGAAAAGTTTAGCAGCAGAGGAACCTCTGTGTGGGCGCACTAAATAGACGAGGTATTTATGCGGGTCTTCTCTGGAATGTGAAATTGGTTCTGGTGGAAATCCACGCAATTACGATCTCATCACGAAAACTTGAATCCTTCCAGTATCATATCCATGAATAACGGTCCTATTTTCTCTCTTTCCTGTGAAACTGCAGTCATGCAACATCCATATCATATAAACTCGCGAGTAAATACTCGCCGATGAAAAAAAAAATAAAAATAAATTGCAAGAAATTGAAATTTATTTTATGAAGAGGCCTAAATGATTCTGTTCTTCCGAGAAGCATAAAAATATGCCACTATGGGAAATCAAGAAGGAAGAGAATTACGAGAGCATCTCCCAAGCGGGTCTGCCAGTTAAACCTTTAGACGCTCCTATCCTGTGTCCAATCGAGGAATAGGACGGAAAACCACACGGCTCGAGGAGTCTGATTCAATCATGCGATTCTCCTGGATATGATCTTCTTACACTGTTTCCGGATTGAATTCGTAGCCCCCGTAGGAATGCGTCTTCAATTGCAAGTAGTGACAAATTCCACATGGGTGGTTTCGTGGATCAGATGATCCACGAAACCATCCCCATGTGAAACTCAAGTGCATCCTCTGGAGGTTTTTTTTTCCTCCGTTCTCCATCCGGATTGAATTTCATTCGGATTGAATTCGTACCCTGACGGAGGGTGCGAATTCAATCCGAAAACTGTTAATAAAAACAGAGACTGGATTGGGAGTTGGGTATTTAATGTGGGGAGTGATGTTGAATTACACCTCCTCAGCCCGAGGCAAGGCCATGGATGCCATGCACGGCATAAGACTTGCCTCTTCCTCGTAAACGCGTGTTACTGGCCATTAAGTGAAAGTCATCACCATATTCCACTCGCGACGCCTTCTTTGCAGTCACCTTCTAGCCAGCAGTGCATCATCATCAGACAATCCTTTCCCCTGCCTCCCTTTCCCTGCTATTAGATCCTCTTCTGAGCCTCTGAGAGTCTGATCTTCCCTTGTGTATGTGCGTGTCCTTTGGTTTTTTTTTGCCCCTTCTGTCGTCTAATAGAGAAACAATTCCTCGTTTCCAGTGAATTTAAAATGCAGACAATACAATAGTGCCTGGGATTGCTTTTGACGAGATTTGGTCCCAAAGCAGATTTAACAGTGGCTGCTCATGATATACTGTAATTGTGGTTCGTTTGTGGAGACAGGAGGTCTGTCTCCTTGGAGAAACGTACTACTGCTGTATTTGATTAGCCGCCACTGAGAGGTGGTAATTCCTTAAGGAGCAATATCGAAGACGTGAATGAGAATACCATTTAATCGGAAGTCAATCATCCAAGACCGGATTAAGGGGACGGGGGCAAAGGGGGCTGTTGCTCCGGGCCCCACTCTTCCAGGGGCCCCCCCGAAGGAAATTAAAAACGTTAAGTACAAAAAAGTATTGTATTTGCGTAAAGTAGGGGGGGGGGGGGGGGGGGGGGGGGGGAATGC